TAGCACAGTCCCTGTGATTAAACCTACTGGTGAAGTTCGGCTCTGTCTAGATGCTAGATGACTAAACGATCGGACTAGAAGGGATGCTTATCTTCTCCCGCACCAAGATCGTATATTGAGCAGACTAGGGCCAAGTCGGTTTCTTACCACTATTGATTTGACTAAAGCTTTTTTACAAATTCCGCTTGATCCTAGTTCTCGAAAATATACGGCGTTCTCGGTGTTGGGTAGAGGATTGTTTCAGTTCACCCGACTGCCCTTTGGACTAGTCAACAGCCCTGCTACGCTAGCTCGCCTAATGGACAAAGTCTTGGGGTACGGTGAACTCGAACCGAATGTGTTCGTTTACCTCGACGATATCGTTGTTGTAAGTAGCACATTCGAAGCACACCTCCAAACTCTGGCAGAAGTTGCCCGTCGACTGAGGTCCGCAAATCTCTCCATTAATCTCGACAAATCAAAATTTTGCCTGAGTGAATTGCCGTACCTCGGGTATATCATCTCATCCGATGGTCTACGACCAAATCCCGAACGAGTTGAGGCTATAATAAATTACGAACGCCCAACATCACTTCGTTCCTTACGTCGGTTTTTGGGAATGTCGAATTATTATCGACGTTTCATTCCCCACTTCAGCGAAATTTCGGTACCTCTGACAGATCTCTTGAGGAAGAAGCCTAAAACGATCATCTGGAATTCAGCTGCCGAGAAAGCTTTCATAGAACTGAAAGAGAGTTTGATCGCAGCTCCAGTCCTCGCAAACCCGAACTTTCAACTACCTTTTCAAATTCAAACAGATGCGAGCGATAGTGCTATCGCCGCAATCCTCACGCAGCAGCACGAGAGCGGAGAGAAGATTGTAGCATATTTCTCGCAAAAGCTCTCTCCAGCCCAACAAGCTTATGCAGCCTCAGAAAAGGAAGGATTAGCCGTGCTGACTGCCATAGACAAATATCGTCCATACATAGAAGGCACAAGGTTCATGGTCATAACCGATGCCTCTGCACTTACCCATATAATGAAAGGAAAGTGGCGTACTTCATCTAGACTCAGTCGATGGAGTATAGAATTACAGGGTTACGACTTTGAGATTCGACACCGTAGAGGGAGGGATAATATAATCCCGGATGCACTATCGCGTTCGATGGAGACAGCAGCACTAGATGAGGGAGACCCATGGTACTCTAATCAGTACAACAATGTACTTTCATCACCCGATGATTACGTCGACTATAAAGTAGAAGAGGGTAAATTATACAAATTTGTACCGAGTAAAACCGAAGTACTCGACTTTCGTTTCGAATGGAAACTTTGTGTACCGGAGAAGTCTCGCGATGAGGTTCTCCGAAAAGAGCATGATGAAGCATTCCATATGGGGTATGAGAAGCTACTGGACAAAATACGAACGAGGTACTTCTGGCCGAAGATGGCCACCTCAATTCGGAGATATGTCGAACGATGCCGAACCTGCAAAGAGTGTAAGCCATCCACTATCTCACAGCATCCCACAATGGGTAACCGACGGGTGGCCACGAAGCCTTTCCAAATTCTGGCGATCGATTTCATTCAATCGTTGCCTCGATCAAAATCTGGCCATGCCCACCTCCTTGTACTCCTGGACGTCTATTCAAAATGGACCGTTTTAGTTCCAGTGAGGAAGATCTCAACAGATCTTATTATAAAGATTCTGCAGGAACAATGGTTTCGTCGTTTCTCCGTTCCTGAGATCTTGATTAGTGATAATGCGACAAGTTTCCTCAGCAAGGCTTTCAAAGATTTCTTGTGCCGGTATCAGGTGAAACACTGGGCTAACTCCCGACACCACAGCCAGGCTAATCCGGTCGAACGCTTGAACCGAAGCATAAACGCATGTATTCGAACGTATGTCAAGACTGACCAACGTTTATGGGATACGAGGATCTCGGAAGTAGAACACACTCTTAATAACACTTCGCATACGTCCACTGGTCTTACGCCTTACATGATTTTATTTGGCCACGAGATCGTTGCCAACGGTGAAGAGCATCGTCGTGATCCCGACACTTCTGATGTATCCGAAACTGAAAGAATAGAACGAAAATTAAAAGTGGACCAGAAAATTCTAAACATAGTTAACAAAAACTTAGAAAAAGCACACGAGAAGAGTGCCAAAGCTTATAATCTTCGGTTTCGGAAACCTGCTCCAGTATACCAGGTGGGACAGAAGGTATATAAGCGAAATTTCACACTATCTTCAGCTGGGGAATCCTATAATGCAAAATTAGGTCCAGCATATACTCCGTGCATTATTGTTTCACGTCGAGGTACTAGCTCCTACGAGCTTGTTGATGAGCGAGGTAAAAATCTCGGAATATTTTCGTCCGCGGACCTTAAGCCTGGTGTCCCTGATGAGAATTGAATTCCTTCAGCTTCGTCGTATGTCGGGTAGAGCTTCTAAGATGAAATTATCCAGAATTCACTGGAATTTGTCCAACTTTGTAGAGCCTTTGTAATTCAATTAGCGTACGCGTCTTTTGTGAAATCGATACTCATCGTCTTTTGTGAGTCGTATAGCAAATATTGTTAGAGTGAGCAAACGAATCTTGATTTGCGAATGTTATGCCGTTTTAATTGTTTATTGTATAGCTGTCCCGTTTTTTCATAAATTGAACTTGATTGCCCAGTAGTGTATCATTGTCTGTTAAAGTAGAAGCGACAGGGAAATTTGACCGATCAACGAAAAACAACAACAAATGAAAAATTTCTAGATCGCGATGAGCAGTAGCTATGGATCCAGTTTTCTGCCCTACGTTTCCAGATTTTGATTATAGAAACCATCGTAGAACCCACACAAATTTAATAATATGTGCAATTATCGTTCGTCCGCTTAACTTAAAACCATTAATTGATTCGGCAAAAACAACATTCGATTACCAGATCATCATGATGAATTCGTTTTGATTAAGAAGAGCAATTTTACTCTTTCTCGAAACAATACACTGTTTCGGAGTTAGGAAGAAGATAAGATTGAGTAACCATTTCGTGGATTTAGCTGCGTTAACAAATAATTTTCAAATGTGTTTGAGATACAAATTTGTTGTTTTGACGCAATCTATGTTGATTTTCGTCTGAAATCGAAAGCATGAAAGGTGCGACTCAACCCTGGGTTGATTTAAATGAATTTAACATTGGGAAAATTAATCGAAACTTTGTTTTGATTAATTTTAGAGAGGGAGGAGATGGTAGTGTTACCGTTGGGACATAATATTCCTTGTTTGTCAGTCAAAAAGTAGTTCAATTGTAAAACTTTTATTGTTGCTAAGTGTTTATTGTTTATTTATTTACATATTGAAAATTATATGCAGTTATATTAAATAATTCATAAATAAAAGCCTAGCTAGGATTAAATTAATTGCATGCACACTCAAGAAACAAATTCAAATTGATAACCTAAGAACACAATTTGTTACACTACACTACACGAAAACCGATACCCTTGGGAAAAGCTGATGCAGAGCTAAATGCATTACCACAGAGGAGGCAAAGGACTACGATGAAAAATGGTATATCTGAAAGGGAGAGGCTACTGGTGGTCCTATTAGTGATGGCATGTTCTTTTCCAAGTAACACCTCAAGTGAGAAACATCTCGAAACTAGACCAGTTGTGCACAGTGAAGTGGAAAAGTGACTATAATCTCAATTTATATTGTTAAATTGGAGAAAGTCGAACCAGGACCCATTGTATTCCGGTTGAAGTCGTTCCGTTACCGGTTAGCTAAGGCAGCTGACCTGGAATAAAAGTCCCGTGCGAGGTGCGTAGCCAAACCCCAACCTCGACCAGCCAAAGGTCCATTGTGATCACAGGTTCACGGATAGACCCACAGCCCACGTGGCCTTCGTCCGCAGAGGTTAGGCCAGGGGTACCGACGCCGTTGTATCCAGGCAGCAGATCACCGAACGCAGCCGATCAGGTGCTTTTCGGTCCGCATGACCAACAACCGATCGCGAACCTACGACGTCCCACCACGCTCTTCTGCAGCAGCAGCCGGCCGGCCCATCATACCCACAAACACACATACCATTGCTGTAAGTCAGAATAAAAATGTGTTTAACTTTAGTTTGCCTTGTGTAGTTTTTTTATCTGGTGACTGGACTCTTGTTAAGCAGATTCCCTCGATAAAAGCCGACCCTGAGCGCAAAAGTGCCTCAAGCTCGAGCTTGCCGGGAGCGATCAAAAGAGGCCTTGAGAGCCCACCTTCAATGGTCCCCGTGGCTAGACCAGGGATCGAAGGCATTGTAGGAGGGTCCGTCTGATCCCCTATTAACACATTGTACAGGTAAATCCCCTTATTCTACCCCTAGTGAAGTGAGGTGACTCGCTGTCATTAGTGAGGTGACAATTGTCACCTCGCGTGAGGTGACTATCCTTTGATATGTACGGAGACTCATCTCACCCGAGGTGACAATTGTCATTTCACTATCAATTCCGTCACCTCACCTCCTACGCCACACAGATTTCACTCTTCAGCGGGGGAAATTTAGACCAATCCAGTCAATTGGACCGCCGCTAAAGATGCCGGAAGCTTGCGTTCTTTATTTTATTTGTCTCCGTACCTAGCACAACGATCACAACACAACGCAGGGATCCCGCTCGTGCCCTTTGAAGTCAACATGTTAATTTCTATGGCAACAATCCCGGCACATTTAAATTTTTAAAAGCCTTCGGAAGTCGTCTTCAAGTTCAACATGTCTTCAAACAACCCAACCAAACATGAAATGTCTTCAAAATATCTTCAAACCTGGCGCCTCTATTGTACTTCAGTATCAACAAATATACGGAATGAAACTATGTTAATTGCTGTCCCAGTACATCGGATGGTAGCTTAATAAATATATTTACAAGACAAATTCCATATACATTTAAAAATTGCCAAACTTATACTTAAGAATAGAGGTCAAGGTTGCATGCAAGTGAATAGAATAATGTATTTGTCAAATATTTACAGAATAGAACAGTTCAAATAACGGTGCCAGTTAAATCGATGCCAGGTTCAACAGTATCCGCAAGGATACATCATATTCAATCTGCGGATGTCTTTTCCGCTCAGTTCCTTACGTTGACCAATGGTTTGGTTTCCGTTCTGCAAGTAAAAAAAAAAAACAATCATAATCCAACAAGATTCAACCAAGTCGACTATCTACCTTTGGGACGATCGTTTCCATTCCATCCCGGCTAAAGTGTGTTGGTCCGAAGTTCATAATACTATCAATATCAAACGGGATGCCATAGTTTGGCATAACTCTTCCCTCGTATATTAGTAGACTTTGCACACTTTCCGGTCGCACGTGATACCAATTGATATCGATGTAGTAATCGCGATCCTGTTGGTTGGTCATGTGTCCAACACCAAGAACATGCATCAACTGATGGATGATGGCACCCTCGATCATGCATCCTTCCGGGCAGATGTTCATTCGATTTAACCCTTTGTTGCGACCCAACGTCGACCAGCATCCAGATGACTCTCCCGAAACTACCAGGTAATCTTGTTCCTGTTTTCTTGGAACGAATCGAATTGTGCTTACATCCTCGATCTTGGCCATCGCTTCCTGGATCAGTTTAGCGTGTACCAATGCTGTAATAAGAGGAATTATTTGAATTTGGGTTCGTGCATAGCTCGTTTGCAGTAAACGTACTCAAAAATTCGAAATCGATCACGTACGGCACCAGGTTGTTGACCCATTTGTCCACCTCGGTCACAATCGGATCCCGTCCCGAGATGACCGTTTCCTTCTGACGCTCCGTCATCAAGATATCGCCTTCATAGTTACCAATATTTGTTTCGACCTCGTAATTGTCTACCACAAGTGGATTGAAGAAAAATATATATTCAATTATGTAAATCTAGCCACGCATCCGCAACTTACAGTTCTCCAAATCAACTGACAGTCCAACAACGACCGATGGCACCAACAACGACATAAAAAAGATTACTAGCTCCATCTCGATTGGCTTCTAACGGTATATTGGTTGCACTATGATTTTTATACCGAATGCATTCGGAACAATGCACAAAAACTTCTTGGAACCGTCTTTTTTAGGTTTAAAATGTGTGCTCTGGTGTCCACGGTGACGACGATGTCGACAACTATGGTTGAAGGTTTCCTGGATGAATAATTCCCGGAAACGGAGCGTTGTTTCTATAAGACCAGTGTTAAGTAGATAATCGGATGAGCTTATCTTGAAATTTATCATCCCAAGCGCACTCCACTGATAGTATTGTGAACATGTTGTATTCAAGGCAGATGATGTTTATATAATAAATAAAAAATAAAAAATAATTTGGAATTGTTATGATCGCCCATGGGTGCACCGGGTGCACAGTAGGACAGTGGATCCTAAATCGTGGCTAAAACCTCCACTGCCATGGGCATGATTCTTTTAAGTTTGCGATTTTCGACATAGCTACTACCGTTTCATACTCTAAGGAAGCCTTAGCGTGAAACTTTAAAAGCACACATGTCAGCTTCCACAAAACATACAAATTTGAAATTGCTACTCCTTGTTTGCTGTGCTACTATAGACAGTGGAAGCTGACATTTGTGCCTTTGAAGTTTCACGCTAAGACTTCCTTAGAGTATCACCTTTAAGTGCTATGATTGATCCAAGGGGTGAGACAGTTTTACTCTGAGTTGCTTTTTTGCAGCGAGTAACTCGCGTGTATCTCACTGTACCTCAAAGTTTAGTCGACGTTCATCGATGTTTTTTGTCTGGTTACTCCTTGGCTTACTCCGTTTATCCCTTTCACATATTAGACGTAAGTCTTGTTTGTAAGCTGTGAAACAAAGTAGCCGAGGATACGCCGAAGCCAGGTCCGTTTGTTTGAAGATTGCCGTGGCAACGGATAAACAACCTAGGTAAATAACAAAAGGATACCATGGCAGCAAGTATATAACCAAGGACTCCATGGTAACCAATAAACAACTAGGAGGGTATAAATAGTGAATTTTCACCTAGTTCTAGTTAGTTCTAATCCAACCATCAAGCTGTGTTTACAGTAATAAACTTCGTTTAAATCAATCCTGTCTTTCTCTGCTACGAGCAATACCTACAAGAGGTTATGGGCACCCCGAAGGAAGCTGCGCATGGAATTCCCCAGTATTCCGGTGGACCGGGATTCGAGAATTGGAGTTTTTCGCGGCAAGATGTTTTTGGATGCAGCTGATGTGCTGCGGACATTGACGGAAAACGTACCAACAGTGGAAGCAGTTAAAGCGAAGTTTTGAAGAAGATGATCGGAAAACGAAGAGCTACATCGTAGGATTCTTGGCTGATGATGTTCTGGAAGTAGTCCGGGACAAAAGCAGCGCGAAAGAGATGTGGTCAAGCTTGCGTGAAGTTTTTGCCAAGAAGTCTGTGGCCAGTCAAACGCTCCTACGAAAGCAGCTTGGACGCCTACGGATGAAGGAGGGAGCTTCGATGCGGTCTCACCTTTTGGCGTTCGATGATCTCGTGAAGCAACTCAAAACGGCTGGTGCGAACCTGGAGGATGGAGATCTCGTGTCTCAGCTATTCCTTAGCTTGTCGGACTCATACGATCCCCTCGTCACAGCGCTGGAAAACATCAAGGAAGAAGACTTGAAATTGGATTTGGTGAAGCAACGGCTCCTTGCGGAAGAACAAAAACGTGCTGATCGGATGGACGAAACTGTTGAGGACAGACCAGCGGTTTTCGCAGCACACTACCAGGACAGACGTGGTGGCAAATTCAAGGGTAAATGCCACAACTGTGGCAAACCAGGCCCCAACCCAAAGAAGGAAGTGCATGCTGCAATTGGAAACAAAGCAATTAGCTTTATGGTGAGCCGCGACGAGTCAACAAAATCAAACGGTAACACAATTAATTTCAAATTGGACTCTGGGGCGAGTGATCATTTGGTCAATGTAAAAACGTTTTTCGACTCGACTGAAAGACTCCCGACCCCGGTGGTGATCAATGTGGTGAAGGATGGTGAAAACCTGGTAGCAAAGGACGAAGGCGAAATCAATGGCTACAGTAACCACGGCGTGCTTCTGAAAGTGAGGAATGTTCTCTACGTACCGGATCTCCGCGAAAACCTGTTGTCAGTGAAGAAACTTGCGGCCGTCGGTGTCGAAGTGCTGTTTCTCAAGAATAAAGCTGTACTGAAAAAGGATGGCGATGTTATCGCTACTGCACCAATGAAGGGGAACTTATACGAGCTCGATATTAAGGCGAGTGATCCAGTTGCTAACGTTTGCCAGGTGGATCGCAACGAACTTTGGCATCGTCGCTTAGGACATCTTGGCCAAGGTGGAATGGCCAAAATCGTTCAAAAAGAGCTGGCCACTGGTGTGGATTTCAAGCCTGGACTAAATCGGTTCTGCGATGCCTGTGCTCAAGGCAAACAGTGTCGAGACCCGTTCGATGGAACACGAACCCGAGCAAAGCGACCCCTCGAGCGGATTCACTCGGACGTATGCGGTCAAATCGATCCACCAGCCTGGGACGGATCGAAATATTTTGTGTCATTTATCGACGACAAAACGCACTTTGCTATGATTTACCACATGAAACGGAAGTCAGAGGTCATCGAAAAATTCCAGGAGTACGAAGCACTGGTAACCGCTCATTTCGGCACGCGGATTTCAAAACTGACCGTGGATCAAGGTCGGGAATATGGATCAACGGCACAGAAAGCCTACTACAAGAAGAAAGGTATTTAGGTTGAGGCAACTGTCACTTACACGCCTCAACAAAATGGTGTGGCTGAGCGTTTCAACAGAACGCTTGTGGAAAAAGTGAGGACCATGTTGCTTGATTCGTCAATGCCGAAGCAGATGTGGAATGAAGCAGCTCTTACAGCGGTGTATTTGATCAACCGCAGTCCATCCGCAGCGTTGCTGGAAGGAGTAACATCGGCCGAATATTGGATGGGATCCAAGCCGGACATGTCGAAGCTTCGTGTTTTTGGATGCAAGGCGTATGCATGGATCCCTACGCAACTCCGAAAAAAGTTGGATGCTAAAAGTCAAGAAGTCCTCATGACCGGCTATACAACCTATGGATACCGCCTATGGAATAGAAAAAGCAGGAAGGTAGTGATTGCTCGTGACGTTCGTTTCGACGAGACCTGTTTCCCGTACGCTTCTGAGCCTAGAAAAGAGAAGAAGCCGTTATTCGTTTTACCTTCGTACGAGCAAGAGGGGGAAGCAGCTGAGCCCGAAGACGAACCTGCCGATGAAGAATCAGATTTGGACAACGATGGACAACATCTCCAAGATCCAGAGGACAACATATCAGATGAAGCAACAGTCGCTGCCCTCCCTTCGCAAATAAATAGTGACGAAACTCATGCAGAATCGTCAAGGCGTAGCGAACGGGAGCGCAAGTTTCCGGGTAAGTTGCTCGATTATATTACTGGTTTCCAAGCAACCCCTGCTGCGTTTTCCTTCACATTAGATGTTCCTGAAACCTACAAGCATGTGCTAGTTCGGGAAGACCGAGACGAGTGGCTGCAAGCCATTCAAAACGAGTTGCAGTCAATGGAGAAAAATCAGGTGTGGAAGATGGTACCATGCCCCGCTAACGTGAAGCCATTAAAAACCAAGTGGGTTTTCCGGATTAAGGAGGACGAGGCCGGACGGATAGTACGGTACAAGGCCCGACTTGTCGCGAAGGGTTTTCTGCAGACTACGAAGAGACGTACGCTCCAGTGGCCAAGCTTGCGACGATTAGAATCATCCTTGCGGTTGGTGTTCACGAGGGCTTCTTCTTTCACCAGATGGATGTAAAGACGGCCTTTCTTCACGGCGAGCTAAAGGAATCAATTTTCATTTGTCCTCCAGACGGTACGAAGTCAGCACCAGGGATGGCGTGCAAGCTGCAAAAGTCGCTTTACGGACTTAAGCAGTCACCACGGTGTTGGAATCAGAAGTTCACTAGCCAGATCGAGAAACTGGGTTTCGTACGATCGAAGAGAGACTACTGCTTGTACGTCAGTACGAGGAGAATGATGAGCTTTATATCATCCTGTACGTCGATGATCTTCTGATTGCGGGAAGTAATTTGGACACCATCAACAAGCTAAAAAAGAAGCTATCTACTGTTTTTGAGATGACCGATTGCGGAGAATTGCGACACTTTCTTGGTACACGGATCAATTACAACCGTAATGGTGGATCTTTGCGACTATCACAGGAATCCAACGTTACAAAGGTACTGGATCGTTTTGGAATGGGTGAATGCAATCCGATCAAGACTCCAATGGAAAAAGGTCTACAACTACCTCGAGGTGGGCCTAGCGCTGAAGAACCATATCGCGAATTGCTTGGCAGCTTGATGTACATTAAGCTCTGTGTCAGGCCAGATGTATGTTACCCTGTCGGTTATCTCGGGCGATTCCAGCAGGATTCATCAACCGTACATTGGAATGCATTGAAGCGAGTGGTGCGGTATCTTAGCGGGACAAAAAACCTGAGTCTCGAATACCAGAGGAACAGTGAATCAGTACCGCTCACAGGCTATGCCGGTGCCGATTGGGCGGCCGACCTTCATGACCGAAAATCTGTGAGCGGCTTCATTTTCAAGGTCTATGCATGCACCGTATCCTGGAGTAGCAAGAAACAATCCACCGTATCATTGTCGTCAAGTGAAGCTGAGTACGTTGCTCTTAGTGCAGCACCAGCAGAGGCCGTATGGATCAGCGGCATTTTGAACGACCTTCAAGTAATTGCCAATCCAGTGACAATCTATGAAAACAACCGAGGATGCATCGGCATGGCCAAAAATCTAGAAAGCAAGAGGACCAAGCACATTGACGTGAAACATCAT